ACGGCAGACTGCGGCGTTCCAACTAGAGTGGGGGCTGGTGTTACCAATCAGCTATGGAAGAGAAGATGATCGTTGCTGATGTTACTGCAGGGGGGGGGGAAACTGTGACGTCACCAAAACGGCTTTCACGACAACGTTCAGCCGCAGTACACAAGGATCAGTCGCACGCCCAGCGAAGGGGTCACCCAGTTCTTCAGGAAAACGGAGGATTGTCTTTGACTTTGATATTGAAATAAAGCTTTACTGTTGAATTTGCATGGTTTTTGCCGTGCTCCTCCGTCGTCCTCCCCATCCCTTGATACCCGCTTGCTCAGTAACAGTTCTGAGAACTCTGAAAAAAAACCGCGAATCTAGCTGTATGGTCTGTGCGTCGGTGGAAAATGCAGGGGTCAACCCCGAAGAAGGGGTTTTGTTGAGTGGTCGTATTTCGCACAAGTTCTTGTCAAAGGCGGAATGTGCCTCAGCGGATGGTTTTTGCAAAGCCCAGAGGAACTTGGAAGCGGTGGTTTAGGTCTATCAAATCTCTTTCGTGTCGTATGTGGCCTGGTACTGCCCCATCTGAACATCGCTAGTTCTGATCAACAGAACAGCACTCATTGTGCAGTGAGTGTGCAGTTTCTTCGACTCGCCACAGTCAGACAACTTTTTCAGCAGTGAAATCCTCGAGGGAGAATATGGCGAACAGTCAGTGACTGCAATTGCGTTTATGATGAAGACTATCCACCGGATCGAATTACTCTAAGAAGCGTTTTTTTGTTGTGATCAGTTACATTTGAATTTACTCTTCGTCATATAATAGGTATGTATTTACGGTACCATACTGCTATCCCTTGCTTCTGTTGGTACACTTGTTGCAGTTGCATGACTTTATTGATACGAATATTGATACTGATACGAATTACTATAAAAAGCACTTTTGTCGTGGACACATCACTTTCTGGGTTTGCGCCCTTCGATACCGCACCATTTAGCATAATTGTTGTACTTTTCTTTCAGTAATAGGGTGGAAACCCCAAGCATTACCATTGAAATTGAAATAACCGTAGATATCCTTGTCCTGAAACACTCGTGACTTTATCATTACAGCACGGCATGGGCATGCAGAGCTGGCTGTTAACTTGG